ATTGTCAGAAGAACAAACAAATCTGTGTTGGAAGTAGTGCAGTCAGAGTATTCCTTAGAAGAAAGGATGACAAGGCTTTGTCTCACATATTTTGGACATATTATCAAGTTGAACCAATCCCTGGAGAAGGACATCATGCTTGGTGAAGCAGAGAATCAGAGAAAGAGGGACTTTCAAGGAGATGGATTGACACCTTGACTGCAACAATGGTCTCAAACATAACAATTGTGAGGAAGGTACCAACTGGTCAATGGTTCCTTCTTTTGTGCTTGGTGGCACTGAGTCAAAACTGACTTGATGACACCAAAAAAATAACAACAAATCATTTTGGAAGTAAATATACATTATGAAAAGACAGGTCTTCTCTGACTTTGATAAAGAAATCTACCTTTTCAATGATATTCATGAAACTATCCCTTTCTAACAGGTCCTAGAACTTTAATTCAGTTTTATCTGTAATTATCTATATGTATGTTGTTGGTAAGTGCTGTCAAGTCAGTTCCAACTCATAGCGACTTTGTATTGGGTTTCCAAGGAGCAGTTCTTGAGTTTGAACTGCTGATCCTGTGGTTAGCATTCCAGTGTTTATCATACTGCACCTAACCAGAACTTTGTATGTTTGGACTGGACATACACTGGGTTTTGAAGTTAAATGGGCCACAGGTTTAGAATAAAGTACGTATGCCATGATTCCGATGTTGTAAGTGAAGAAGCTTTTTGCATGAGTATTTCTGTATCTTTTGATCTGTTTTTTAAATAATAGTTTACTTATTGATCAATATTTTTGATATTTTATATCATAGGAGTTAAATCAAATGCTTTCAGAAACACCACCAGTTTGGAAAGGATCATCGAAGCTATTTCGAAATCTTAAAGAAAGAGGTAACCTCATTTTAGTAATTATGCTTTTTAGTAATCATACTGTATTGTTTGTATTTTATGGGCATCAATATTTTTCTCATACTTATATACATTTAAAAATTTGTATATAAATATTGACATAGTGTATACATAGAGAAAAGACTGAAAAGGAAAAACATCAAATTATAATAAGTATTTATTGGAATGTGTGATTAATGTTCCAAATAGTTAATAATCTAATGAACTTTTACTGTTAAACAATTTAACCATATTGAAAAGTATAGTTATATTTGCCTGAAGAAACTATTTTGGAACAAATACTATATCTAAGAAAAAAAGCCTATTTGTTTTTTCTTCCATTTTCCAAGAAATTATGGATAATGTCTTTAATCAATGTGGAAATATTTTCTAATGTATTTTGGAAGCCTAATTTGAACTTGTTTGTTTTTTTTAAAGGCATTCATGTAGTCTCATATCTAATGTAACTGAGTTGTACACATCAAGAATGTTTAAATGGCAAACAACTTGTTAAGTATGTTGGGATTTCAAAGACTTTGTGAAAAATTCTATTATCTTTTTTAGTTCCATTTTTCCACAGGCTTTTTGAATCTCCTTCATATATTTTCAGATAAGTCCAAAAGTATTATCACAAAATTATAAAAAACAGACAAAAATATCAAAACTGTGAAGCTATTGTTTCTTGACATAAGCTCTAAGTCTATATACTTCTAGAGCTGATGGGGTTTCCATCTCTGTAACCCTTCCAGCAGAATTTTGTACTCTTCAATTTGCAGCATGTCAAAATGTTAGTTTTGTTAACCTCAAGGGATTCAAATTGTCCCTTTTAAATGTTCTTTATGATTTGGAAACAAAAAAACGTATGAATGGGCGAAATCGAATTAAAGTTTCCCAATTAAAATTTCATAGGACAGCCCTTGCTTCTGTCAAACAATAAGTAGGCACATTGTTGTTATAGAAAGAAAAATTCCGTGACATAACCTCCCTGGTCTTTTTCTCACAATGAAGTTTTCATTTTTCTTAAACCTTCTTCATAATAAATCCCTATGATCATCTTGTATCCTTTGAGAAAATCTATCCAAGGTAAATGTTGTCGTTAAGTTCCCTCTGGTCGATTCTGACTCAAAGCAACCGTATATAGGGTTTCTGAGGTTGTAAACCTTTGCGAGAGCAGAAGGCCTACTCTTTAGAAATCCCAAAATATGTGGGGGCTTCAAAAAGTTCATGGAAAAATTGAATTAAAAGGTATAATGGATTTTTTCCACAAAAATTTTGTATCCTCTCATACAGTTATCATACATTGCATTTTGGGCTGACCTCTCTGCCTTGAATTAAACTGGTCCATCATATCCCCTTAGATGCCACTGTTTTGATTGGACCTTTATTTTGAAGGTACCTACTTTGTCTGTAGCCATCCACTGATTGTAGAGATACGCCAAAACACATTTCGTTTAGAATACACCCATACATGTATGAGCTGGAACTCTAGTAGCAATACTTTCTGACTTGTCTTTGTATTTACGATAATTTTTTTAAAAGAGTCATTGACAAGCCCACCAGTTTCAATTTACCCTATTATCCATATCCATGCATCCAGATTAATTGTTTAATTTATACATTTTATTGCATTTAAATAGATGTGGCTTTTATTTCAGTGTTTTTTCACAATGCACTTATACATGTGTTTTATTATAATTGTTAAGTGCTGTCCAGTTGGCGTTAACTCATAGCAACCCTGTATAGGGTTTCCAAGGCTGTAAATCTTTATGAGAGCAGCAAGCCTGAGATTTCTCCCAAACAGCAACTGGTGGTCTTCAACAGCCAACCTTGTGTTTAGTCCAGTGCTTGCCCTACAGAACCACAGTGCTCCCCTATATATATATGAGGGGGCTTCAAAAAGTTTTTGTGAAACTTAGTGGAATTTTTCCATGAACTTTTTGAAGCCTCCTCATATTTATTGCAATAAATGATGAATAAAATCTCTTTAACTTTAAAAATAATTCATTTATTAAACCTCAGAAGTCATACTTTTTATATTCTCAGTATAAGAATACATGCAATAAAAATATTTTTTAAATGTTATAAGTTTATTTTTCTGCTTCATCAGTTTTAAACCATAGTCAAATAGTAGAAAAAAGTCATTATAATTAATTTATTTTATGTAAGTAGAATTCGAAGTTAAAATTGTTTCCACTTGATTTACAGAAATCTGGAAAAAAAAAAAAAAAAGAAAGAACACACGGACACCTTATCTTTTATACTTTTCATACCTAGAGTTTTAAAATCTTTGAGTGATCTGAGCCAACATGTCATAAAACACTGGAAATTTTCTCTTGCAAGTTGTCTTAAAAGATTTTCATTCACAGAGTGGGATGACTTGTTAAGTGCCGTAATTCGGTTCCAACTCATAGCAACCCTGTGTAGGATTTTAAAGGAAGGACTGGTGGGTTTGAACCAGTGACCTTGCGGTTAGCAGTCCAGTGCCTGTCCTACTGTACCATACCAGAACTCCTAAGACAGAAAAGTTACAAGTGATCAGATAGATCTGATTAATTTTTTAAAAGGATTTCCTTATTACCTTTCATGAGAAAATACAAATTGGGCCAAATATAATCTGAGAGAAATAAGTCCATGCAATAAGGAAAGTCTTTAGTTACGGGAAAGCTCTAACTGGAAAGCCCTGGATTGAGCAATTTCCTTCTCCTTCTGATGTTGTATGTATATTTGCATGCCCCCAACTATGGGGAGATGATATGTTATGTTCTTCTCTGTCCAGCAGAACTGCCTGCTGTCCAGTATGGCAGACAAATGTAGCTGGCTATTACATTAAGCACTTTGAAAGTGATTAGTGTAACTGAGAAACTGAAAATTTTAATTTAAAAAAAAAAGAAGAATTTAACATTGTTATTGTTGTTAAGTGCCATCAAGTTGATTCCAACCCACGGTGACCCTGTACAGAGTTTCCAAGGAGCAGCTGGTGAGCTTGAACCGCCAACCTTAACAGTTCAAATGGCTTTGCAGTTTGGTGCATTAACCCACAGTGCCACACTAGGACTCCAATAATTTAACATCGATTGCCTTTATAATCTGATCAGTATGATACAGAGCTCTTCCCTATAGGGTATCTGTATGTGGGTATTTTAATTTAACATTAAACATTTAACATTAAATACCCACATACCCTATAGGGAGGTGCTCTGTATCATACTGATCAGATTATAAAGGTAATCAATGATCCCAGAAGTTAAGAAGTACAGAGAAACTTGTTTTATTAATCAAGAGATTTGCTGGCAGAGAAAGGTTAAAGCTAAATTTTTAGAGCTCTTGAAAATTAATTTTTAAATCACACTTACCTGATTAAAAATTAGCTGTTATACAACTTTTATGAAAGGATGTATTATATAGTTAGTTATAATAGCCAATTATAGTATATCATGAGATTGCAATTAAACAGCTTGTTGTTTTTAAGGAATTCCTCCTAAATTGACTTTTCAAAAGAAATGTAATTAGTAGCTTTCTAACCCTATTTGTAAACATCACAATATTATTAAATACTTCACAGTTATTGTTATTCTTTGATCCTGAGTACTCTTAAAATAAATAGGGTTGGTTAGTCTTAGAGTTTCTCATTTTTTGTAATTGAAAGCATGAAGAATCTACAGCTCTGATTCAGCAGTATGTTTCTTCTCCCAGATAATTTTTATTAAATTGTATTTGGGTTTCACTTTGGATTATACCGCATCAGAAATTACTTAGATTATAAGTATAAATTTATCTTTTTCGTTGGAATCTCATGAGAGAATTACATTCCTGATTTTCATATATGTATATATATATGTGTGTGTGTGTGTCTATAATTCTATAGATGAGTGCCTACCATGATGAGATCATGATCAAAACTCTCATCGTTAATCTTTCCCTTGGGGAAATTTTGAGTTAACTAACATGTGGTAGGTATATAGCAGTTAATGAACTTCTTTATACCAGCCAATGTCTCTGTATTTCACCAGGTCAGTAGAACACCAGTGAGCCAGAATGGTGGAGACAGGGATCCCATTTCCAATCCCATTCTTCTTTCTGCATTTTTTTTTTAAGAGATCCCTATGGATTTTAAGTATTTTATCTTTATATACAATGGCCATTTCAGAATCTTTCTCCCATAACATTCATGGCAACCAACCAGAGCTATCTGTCTATAGGTTACAATATTCTAGTATAAACAAAAGAAGAGAATGCTTTCAGGAACTCCTCACTAGTTACCTTTGTGTCTTCTGACAAACTACCTGACAGTGGCTCCTCTTCTCTTTGTTTCAAAACAAAGAGGTTTCCTCAAAGAACATTAGGTTCACAGTGTAATTATTCAAGGCACTTGTTTACTCAACATCAGGTCTGTCTGATATGCAGATAACTGGCACTGGCTTATTCTGGATTTGATTTTCTTACTATCCACTTGGAAGGTCAGTGAAGCCATTCATTCTAATGTCTTTGTTGTCCAAAAGCAAGAATTCTTGTAACAATATGTGTATTTTTATTTATCCACAAAACACCTCATGTCTGCGATTCAGATCTACCAGCCACTCTTTGGAACCTTATACAGAGTCGCTGTGAGTCAGAACTGTCTCCATGGCACTTAACAACAAGTGAATATAATTTTCCTTTTTTTATTTTTTACAAATGTATTTCATCACTGATAGGGTTTTGTATCTGTTTCTACAGACAAACAATTTTTTGCCTGTTTTGTTATGATTTCATAATAATAATTTAGTCTCATTTAAAACTAAGCATCTGCTTTAAAATGGTATGTTACTTATATTCTTCATTACTATTATGAGAATAATATTTTATGTAGATAAATATGAACCTAAAGTAGCAATTTTACATATAGTATGTTGTTGTTAATAACTGATGTTATTTTTCTTCTAGGTGTTATTTCTTACACAGAGTATCTTTTCCTTTTGTGTATTTTAACAAGTAAGTCTATTAATTAAATCTTACATATGCAGTTTTCATATTTAATCAGAATCTTGGGAGACAATTTTTCAATTTTCTGTTGTAAATCACTTTAGAGATATCCATGCTGTTTTGTGAAATTCATGTCCAAATGCCACAGAAAAATGTTAAGCATAGCACTATTAAGAGACAAAAACGTAAACAATACTGACTTGTGTTATAAAGTGTTCATAAATTATAATTTTTATGTCATACCAATTCTTGCATTAATGTAAAATAAACTCAAGGGAGTGACTTTCAAGAAGTATACAATAGCACTGTGCGGTACGTAACTGGTTAGTCTAGAATAGACTGATGAACATCAATGATTAATACTACCAAAAGAATTAGAGGAATGCGTACCAAGGAGTCTCAGAGACTTGTTGGAAAGTTAGCTGTTTAACCAGAACAATTTTGGACACAAAATTAATAAATATAGGTACATACACCAGCATGGTGAGTCAAAAATAAGAACATTGTCAGGAAAGCCAGTTGTTGAGATGAGTGGTGGTGATGGTGGTGATTTTGTGCTGTGGAGTTGGTCCCAGCTCATAGAGACCCTGGAGAGATTTTCCAAAGCTGTAAATCTTTATGAGAGCAGAAAGCCTTATCTTTCTCCCATGGAGCGGCTGGTAGATTTGAACTTCTGATCTTGTGGTTAGTAGCCCGAGTCATAACCCACTACACTACCAGGGCTCCTTGTTGTGATGGGAGAGGGTATGAATTAGGGTGTAAGGAAAAACACATACAGGGATTTGGGCTATGTATGAAAATGTTGGAATTGTTAGGTCCTATGGAACTTCCTCTCGAGTTTAGGACCCATCTGTAGATGCTTTTAAAGATTTAAATTGAAAAACTATGGGATGTTGTTTCAACTAAAACCAAGAAGTGTATGAAAAAAGGGCTGGTAAGAAGTGGATTGCATAATCATTGATTAATCTGTGACCTGCTCTAGGTATCATTACCTTTAATCATTTTAACTTGCTAATAAGGACATCCTTTCTACCTGTATTTTCAAAATCTTTTTAAAGCTCAAAATTTGATTATCAGAGATGGTGTTTTCCTTTTTTTAGTGAGTAGTAATCAAAGTAAGTTTAGATTCCTGAAATACATGTAAGAAATGAGCTTGCATAAAGGAGTGGTTTTCTTTTCTGATCTTTTCAGAAACATCTATTACTGATTAAGAGACTAGGGCTATATGCTTCTCCTTTATCAGGTTCAAGGTTTCACAACTAACTAGTAATGGCAAGTGTATCTGTGGGAGATCCCTTTAAAACTCACTGCCAGTCATCTCAAAAGAAAAGGTCAAATGTTTTGAGAAAGGCCTGCACATTGAGAAGATCTTTGAAGGACGCTCTCAAGTTTTCTTCTATCCAAGTTTTCTTCTTTGTGTTTTAGAAGAGAAAAGGGGAAAGGGATTGAACTTTTTCTGAGTTCATAAAATTGAACTGGTTCATGATATGTCAAAGTAGTTCTCAGAAAAACAATTGTTCCTTATATTTTGGAAAGCTGGAAATTACTTATTCAAGATGTTTATATTTCTCTTTTTGAAGTCTCTAAAGTTTAAGCCCTCAAAATAGAAACTATTTTTGGAAAGCATCAAAAGATTTTCCTTTTATTTCTTGTTTCTTGGTGTTTGTTGGGACTTACACATGAAATAGTTATCTTAATATTGGCTATCTTAGCTCTCTTCCTTAATTTATTACCTTAAAACAATTTGTACACTATGACCACAATGAATTTGCCAAAATGTCACTTTGTAATTTCTCATATTACTTAACATTTGCTTTCATAGGTGATTTTGGTTGCAATTTTTCCTAGAATTGGGAATGGTCCATGGACACAGCACATTTCTTTCTCTTTTTTTCTGTATTTTAAGTACGAGCGTGAGTCAAAAATTATCTGCACTCTGGCTGTAGAATTAATTTAAATCAACTTTTAGAAAAGACAAATAGATCGTTTTTTGACATAATCCCCTTGCTTTTCAATATACTTTTTCCATCTTTCACCAAGAATTCATATTACCTTGTTTAAAAATGTTTTGACCTGAGCTGCAAGCCATGAATGCACTGCTGTCTTCACTTCTTCATCAGAGATGAATCTTCGTCTTTGAAGGGCTGCTTTCAGGGAGCTAACAGGTGAAAGTCTAATGAAGCAAGATCAGGCCTACATCTCACATGGAAGGCTTTGCAGAGTGTCAGCAGTGTGGGCAGAGGTGTGTGGACGTGCATTGTCATGCAAGATCACAAAGCCCTTGGATAGCAGTTCTCTGGCTTCAGCTCTTATTGAGCATCCCACTGTAATGAGCACTGTTGATTGTTGGACCTTTTTCCTGACAGTGTTCTAATACTGGCCCATGAGAATCCCAGAAAACTATAAACATCATTTTTCCTTCTGATGGTTGATTTTTGGTCTTTTTCTTCTTCTGCTATTGAGGATGTTTCCATTCCATACTTTCAGGCTTGTATTGATGAATCCATGTCTCATCACCAGTAATGATTTTTAAAAGAACTTTTTCCCTTCCTTTGATTATCAGTCCAAATTTTGTTTGCAGATGTCCAAAAAGCTTCTGTTTGCTCTTCCATGAGTTGTTTCGGTACCCATCTCACTCAAACTTTCCAAAGCCCAAGTCTGTCACTGATTTTTTCATAGGCAGAGCCATGTCTGCTTATGATTTGCCACATAATCCACTGTACCTCATCTATTAACAGAAGCATGTTTTGTGCACGCTTAATATTGTCATCATCCATGGACATAGACAGGCACTTTAATATATCAAGAGTGTGAATAATTTTTCACTCAGTCTCGTAGTTCAACAAACTTAAAATATTTTACATGTGATCAGCTGATATTTTCCTTTGAAACAAACTAGAAAACTTTGGAAAAGAAAGAGCAGACTTATTTTTAGAAGAAAAGTTGTCAAGTTTTTCTGTTGATGTTACTCAAGGAGTCTCACACAGGCACTTTTAAAATGTATAATAAAGTCTGTTACTAAGTGTGCTAACATATGAAGCAGTAGTGTATACACTTCTAATGTGTCATATTTAACTATTTGTAAGATGTTATTTTTAATATTCTTCATTAAAGAAAGTACATCTGTGTGTAATATAAGTAACAATTTAGAAGTTAATGGACTTTTTGCTTGACAGTATGGTTTCCATTTTATGAATACTTTTTTGTATTTTTTTCTGGCAGAGCCGCATGCAGGTTTTAGAATAGCTTTCAACATGTTTGACACAGATGGCAATGAGATGGTGGATAAAAAGGAATTTATGGTGGTATGTATAGGCTATGTTATATTTCATCAATAATTAAATATTACTTTATAATTTCATGTTTTTGTTTTACTTTAGAAGGAAAATAGCAAAAAAATGTGCTTTCACCTTAAATTTGTAAAGAAGTTATACTCAGGCATTTTGAATAAGATTTACATTATTATTGTATAAATTATATTCAATGTATAAAAATAGTTATCATTATTTTTACATTATCTTGAAGTTTGAAATGTGCCAGATATTTTGAGGTTATAAATGCTCAGTTAATAATATTTATTGTCCATCATGTCAGGCACCCTGTTCTATGTCACAGAGTCTTCCCTTCCTACTTAATAATAATGGATTTATAAGGTTTCTTCTTTTCTCTTTTATTCTGCCTGTATGCCTGTCTTTGACCAAGAGCTATTCTAAAGCAGGAAGGGCAAGATCCTTTTTAGTTATTTATCATTCTATCTTTCTCACCCAAGTGCTCCAGCCTTAGTGCTGGGGGTGCTGGTCTCACTTAAGCTGCTGGCTCATCTTAACACTACCCCCCATCCCTTTCACCTCCCCGTCTGGAACTTTTATATTTCTGTATCTGAGTGCTGTGCATTTGCTTATTCTATATTTTCTATGAAATAGAGATTTATATTAATACATTTATTCCATACCAAACAAGGCCACTCTTAGCATTTATGCTCACCTTTGCCTTTACTTCTACTCTTCTTGTCAAAAGAAAGGATATTATGACACATTTTATTTTAATTCAGCTTTTCACATTTGGATAGGTGCTGGGGGAGGGGGAGAAAGGAAAGATAGGCATGAACAGGTCATCTTGTTTTCTATTTTTCCTTTATATTGAGCAAAAAAATTAGAAAACCTCTTAAAGAACTTTGTGTTTACTTCAGAGTCTAAAAATAGAAAAGAAACTATTAAATAATATTATTTTTCCTGTGGCAGGAATGAAAAGAGATTAAAAACTCCTCTCCAAAAGCTAACTAGTAACCATTCGAAGGCGAGCAGGCAGACTAATTACTGGTGTGGTGCTGTGGGTTAATGTGCTGGACTGCAAAGTTGTTTTGAACCACAAGGTTGGCGGTTCAAGCTCACCAGTCACTCCTTGGAAACCCAAACAGGGTCACTATGGGTTGGAACCAACTAGACAGCACTAAACAACAACAACATCTTAAAACCTAGTGTAGTGGTTACAGGTCAGGCTGCTAACCTCAAGGATAGTAGTTCAAAATTATCAGCAGTTCTGCAGGAAAACAATGAGGCTTTCTGCTCCTATAAAGACTTACAGCCTCAGAAACCCTATACAGGGTTGCTATGGGTCGGAACCAACTCCACGGCACACCACCACCACCATCTAAAACCTGGTAGCATAGTAGTTACAAGTTAGGCTGCTACCTAAAGGTCAGCAGTTGGAAACTACTAGATGTTGTGTGGGAGAAAGATGAGGCTTTCTGCTCCCGTAAAGATTTACAGCCTCGGAAACCCTGTACAGGGTCGCTGTGAGTCAGAACCAACTCCACGGCACATAACCAACTATCTAAAACCTTAACCTAGCACCCACTGAGCACTTGGCAGGTAGGAGTTTTCAATTTCATTGCAAAAGATAAAAACACACTTCTTATATATAACTTGAAGTGAAGTATGGTTTGTATATTTTCTTATACTAATGCACAACTGGAGTCCTGGTGTGGCGCTGTAGGGTAAGCAAAGGACTGTTAACCACAAGGTCAGCAGTTCAAACCCATCAGCTGTCCCTCGGAAACCCTATACCAGATTACTATGAGTCAGAACTAACTCAACAGCACTTAACAGTAATATCTAAGGAACTTCCAGAATGGATTTAGTAATCTAAATAATTTGGATACTATTGTTCTGGCCACACTGCCAAGTCCTAGCCCACTGACTCAGACCATTAAAAGATGCCTGTGTGATAGTCTTTCCGAATGTTGTTTGTGGATGTGGAATTTAAAAACATTCAGTGAAAACTCGTATTTGCTTTCACTCTACATGCTTGTAAAAGCTACCCTTGCTTTCATGCTGTGCCGTATTCGTCTTCATATAATGCAGCTTCTTGGATTATTTTCTTAGCATAAAGATTGAGTAAGTGTGGTGAAAGGATGCAACTCTGGCACACACCTTTCCTAATTTTTAAACCATTCAGTGTCCCCGTGTTCTGCTCTAATGACTGCTTCTTGGTGTATATACAGGTTTTTCACAATTAAGTGCTCCGGAATATTCATACTCATTGTTGTCCATAGCTTGTCATGAGCCACACATTAGAAAGCCTTTGCATAGTCAATAAAGCACAGGTAAATGTCTTTCTGGTATTTTCTGCTTTCAGCCAAGATCCATATGATGTCCGTATTGATCTGGTCATTCCATGTCATGCTCAAATTTCTGGCATTTTCCTGTTGAGCCATTTTAATTATCTTCAGAAAAATTTTACTTGCATGTGTGATATTCATATTATTCGATGATTTCCACATTCTATTGGGTCACCTTTATTTGGAATGGGCACAAATATGGATTGCTTCTAGTCAGTTGGCTAGGTAACTCTCTTCTAAATACCGTGCCATAGATGAGTGAGTGCCTCCAGTGCTTCATCAGTTTGTTGAAAGATTTAAATTTGTATTTTGTTAGTTCCTGGAGCCTTCAGTGCAGCTTGGACTTCTTCCTTTAGTACGATCAATTCCTGTTCATATGGTACCTCTTGAAATGGTTGAACATTGACCATTTCTTTTTGCTGCACTGACTGTGCATATACATTACATTGTCTTTTGATGTTTTCTTCATCATTCAATGTTTTGCCCATAGAATCCTTCAATATTACAAGTCAAATCTTGAATTTTTTCTTCAGTTCTTTCAACTTGAGAAATGCTGACCCTGTTCTTCTCTTTTGGTTTTCTAACTCCACATTTCAATATAATACTTGCTTTGTCTTCTCGAGCCAACCTTTGAAATTTTCTGTTCATCTCTTTCACTTCCTCATTTTCTCCGTATACCTTAGCATCTCTATGCTGATGAGCAAGTTTCAGAGTCTTTTCTGGCATCCATTTTGGTCTTTTCCTTCTTTCTTGTCTTCTTAATGACCTTTTACTTTCTTCCTGTATGATGTACTTGATGTCATCCCACAACTCTTTTGGTCTTCTGTCATTAATGTGTAATGCATCAAATCTGTTCTTGAGACGGCCTCTAAATTCTGATAGGATATTTTGAAGACCGTATTTTGGCTCTCATGGATTTGTTTTCATTTTCTTCAACTTCAGCCTGAACTAGTATATTAGCAATTGATGGTCTCTTCTACAGAGTGCCCCAGCTTTATTTTGAACTGGTTATAGGAGCTTTTCCACCATCTCTTCCTACAAATGAGATGTTCCATCTACTGAGGTCCAGCTCAGTACAGAGGTCCAACTGCCTTTTATGTTGTTTAAAAAAGATATTTGCAATGAATCAGTTATTGAAGTCCAGCATCATTTCTATCACCAAGGCTGTATTTTCCAACTATTGATCTTGCTTCTTTGCTTCCAACTTTCACATTCTAATCATCAGTGATTATTGATACATATTGAATGCATGTTTGATAAATTTTAGACTGAACAAGTTGGTAGATTTCTCCGATTTCATCATCACTGGCTTTAGTGCTTAGTGTATAAATTTGAATAACAGTGGTATTTACTGGTTTTCTGTGTATGCCTATGGATATTATCCTATCACAGACAACATTATACTTCAAGATAGATCTTGAAATGTTCTTTTCAGTAATGAATGTGTCACTATTCCTCTTGAATTTGTTGTTCCTGGCATAGTAACCATGTGATTGTCAGATTCAAAATGGCCAATAACTATTCATTTCATCTCATTAATGCCTAAGATTTTGATGTTTATGCATTTCATGTCATTTCTGAAAACTTCCAATTTTCCTATATTCATACTTCATATATTCTATGTTCCAATAATTGATGGATACGTACAGCTGTTTTTCCTCATTTTGAGTTGTGTCCCATAAGCAAATGAAGGTCCAGAACTCTTTACTCCATCTGCATCATCATGGGCATCTTTACTTTGAGGAGGCAGCTCTTCCATAATTATTTCGAGTACCTTCCAATCTGAGGGGCTCATCTTCCAACGCTGTATCTGACAGTGTTCTGCTGCGTTTCTTAAGGTTTTCAGTAGTTGAACATGCAGAAGTAGTCTGCCTTTCCTTTTTCCTAATCTGCCTTGGGCTGGAAACTCCACTGAAACCTGTCTACCATAGGTGACTCTACTGGTATTTTAAAATAATTTCCAGCAGCATGCAAGCCAACACAATGTTGCAAACTGACAGGCAAGTTGTGGAACTATGTTTAAGATGTATAAGATCAATGATTGTCCTGCCTATTTATAAAATAATAATGACCAAACACTTTTTACTATGAAAAATATAGATTAAATTTATTTGTTCATAAAATCACTTATATTGTTAAGTATTTCTACCACCACTCATCTGTCATTTTGTCGTACTACTGTGGTGACTTGTGAGTTGCTGTGATTCTGAAAGCTATGCCACTGGCATTTTAAATACCAGGAGGGTCACCTATAGTGGACAGATTTCAGATGAGCTTCCAGACGAAGACAGACTAGGAAGGAGTGACAAACTACTTCCAAATATTTAGTCACTGAAAATCTTAAGAATAGCAGAGAAACATTGTCAGATATAGTGCTAGGAAATGAGCCCCTCAGGTTGGAAGGCACTCAAAATGTAAATGGGGAAGAGCTGCCTCCTCAAAGTAGACTTGATGGGACATTCATTTGCTGATGGGGCACAACTCAAAATGAAGAGAAACAGCTGTAAACATCCATTGAAAATCTGAACATGGAATGTTAAAACTATAAATCTAGGAAAATTGGAAGTTGTCAAATATGAAACAGGACACATAAACATAGAAATTTTAGGCATTGGTGAGCTGAAATGGACTGATATTAACCATTTTGAATCTGACAGCCACATG